GTGAAAATATTATAGAAAAGAGAGAAATATAGAATGTGTGTTTTAAATTTAAATTACCTATTAAACATATAAACAAAGCGTGGAGAATCAGCTGAGCAATCAAAATGATATTGAGTACACCGACAATATCTTTGGCTAGATTCAGAAGCAAACAGTGTCTCTCGATCAGCGCGACCATTTTACTTCGTTTCCAACAACCATTCTTCTTCCTTTCGTGAAACTGTTGTAATTCTCGACTAAGCACTTCCAATTGTCCACAGAGATGCATGAAAACACCGAAGAGGAAAACATCACTGCCAACATTCCCCGTGCACGTACTGATCAGCTGAATAGATTGAAGAATACACATACTGAAACAAACGATCTGAGTATCGAATGGACAGATCATCTCTTGAGGTAACTGCATTGCTTGCATCTCTTTCTCGGATTTTGCAATTAATGTTTCGTTTTGTGAAGGCATCATCGCAAAGGATAAAAGTGATTCAACTATCAATGGCATAATGACAAAATACGAGGAACCCATCTGAAAGAAGAAAACAAATCTGCCTAGGTTAGTATAGCGAAACATGACTTGCCGATGATCCTGTTTTGTGATATACGTCCAATCATTTGATGCATTGACGAGGTTTTTCAACAAGTTGTCGCGATGCAACCGTATCAGCGCTATCTTTACGATAGTCAAAGTCCCGCATGACGCTAACATGAGGTGATCGATGACCATAACCAGAGTGACATTGTTGTGAAAATTAATATCCACGCCTATATAAACTATCATCATAGTCTGTCAATATAAAATAAATATATAAAAAATATAAGATGATCGAAAATAAAAATTGGAGCGTAAGTCGAATGTAAATTAAGAATAATAGAAGTATCAACTAAACTTTTAGGAAGCATAAATTGAAACAGCGTTTAAAAAGTAAACCCTCGCTGTTCCAATTTACGTTTTCTAAAAATTTCATTGACACTTTTGTTACTTTGCTTTTACATTCGACTTACACTCCGATTTTTGCCAAGGGAAGAATATATTTTATTAAAAAATTTTATTTATTACGTATATAAAATTTTATATGCGTATAAACAATAACTGCATAAAATTAATTATTAGTCTATTTTAATTTTGCGCAAGCTAAATGGAAAAAATCAATAAGATTTTTCCATCTGGTTCGTAGAAGTACGGTAAAATATAACATGGAATATGAAATATCCCACATCGCGAATCATATGTGATATCAAACACTTCATGTTATACTTTATCATAAATGTACTAATTTAATACGACTGCAATTCCGTCTACATGACTGTTATAGAAATTTAATATTTTAAGTATTAAAAGTATTGTTAATAGCACTTTTAATGCTGAAAATATGTAATTAATTGGCCAAAATTAGTATTAAATTTCTATAAGAAGCAATTTGAGCGCAATATTTTTTAAAAAGTTATAGAAGTTTATATCTTGCTGTATATATATATATATATACATAGATATATATATATATATATATATATATCTATGTATGTATATATATATATATGTTAGCCTTATCTAATTTAACCAAAAATTAAGAAAGATAAAATATTAACTCTAGTATGATATTATTATTTTTGGATACCTTTCTTATAACACCAGGGTTTGTGAAACCCTGCAACAAGCTTTGTCACGCTATATCTCTGGACTGAATATATATTTTTTAGCTTAAAACATGTGAAATTTATACCTCGAAGTCAGACAAAGACAGATAAATATGAATAAAAAAAATAACATTTTATTTTCAATTAATTACAATGCTCCAAAAAAATTTCATTGAAAAAATTCGCAAAGTGACTACTTTGGATAAGAAATTCTCAAATTTTTTAATTTAATGTTCAAGTAAAAACTCGTAGGATTTTTTTAGTTGACCCTTTGGACTAACAAAAAAAAAATAATACGATATGAATCGCTCAAAAAAGTATAATTACTTGAACTATCGAAAATCGACATTTTTGAAAAATCTATATATTTTAAGTTTACAATTAATAAATAAAATTTTATTATTTGAATTATATAAAAGAGTAATAATATAAGTAGATAAAGGATTGTACATGTATAAAAATATTATTATAGTATATATAATTAAATTTATTAGGATTTAGTTTAGAGGATGATACAACACTCGCTCTAAAGCATTAAATCCGCCCCGACCGAGCGATCTTCTGATAGAAATTATAAGATTTCTACTATTTATTATATTGAAATATAATTCTTTTTAGTTCTACATTTTCGTATATTACTTTTATACTATCCGAAACTCAGTAAACGTATATTTAATAAAAAATAAAGGGATACTCAAAACGCCGAAAATTTACAAGTTAATCATATGTGGGTCAAATACTCTCTTTGAACTTTCGTACATTCTCACATCGAGAATAACGCAAAAAAAATATCTTGTAGACTTATATCTATATGGACAGTTAAACTTTTCAGCCTCTCAATCCGGATCTTCAAATTATATTATAAAAAAGTTACAACAATGTAAAAAATCGCATAGATTGAACCGATGAATATCACACTAGGGTTAAAACTTGTAATAAATTATTTTCCTGTAAGCACCAACTAAAAATAGCATTAATGTTATAATTTCACACTCAACAATGTAAATGTAATATAATACATACAGTATAATGATTACATTGTTGAGTATAAAATTATAAGATTATGACATTAATATTTTAGTATTTTATTATTTACTGAGTTATATTTATTTATATTACAGTTGACGTATTAATTCGAAAATATACAGCAAATGTATACTCTTACTCTCTCTGTGAGCTACTGTAATGAATGTATACATTTACTATAAATAAATATATACATTGACTAGTGAGTTAACACTTTGTAACATATACAAAAGTTAATATTCAATTCTTATCTATCAAAAAAATCTTTTACATATTTTATTTATCTAACAAAATGTAATATGCACTTCACGTGTTAGAGTAAATTATATATTAATAAATAAAATTATATATTAATAAATAAAATAAATTTTATTTTTAACCAAATAACTTTCAATTAGATAACATTTAAATTTACCTGTGTGACTATAAGAAGCAGCGCACGCAATTTTGCAAAGTTTCTATTATGATCTAAAGGCCATGAACCGAGCGGCCACATTACTCGCTTATACAGAGAAAATTCGCGAGACATTTCTTTGTTCCATGTTTTACATGATGCCATCCTCGCATGTTAAGGATTACGGTATCATCGAATGTAAGCACTAGCAAACGCAGCTTATGCATTCATTCATTATTGATTAAAGCATGTTTCACTATGCACTCCGATATTGAATAGTCCTGTGGCCTTGCACATTTGCAGCCATCACGCATGGCGGAAATGACTATTCGTTATATGTAATTCGGAAAAACATAGTACAAATATGTGTCATTGGTCTAACAGCTTAATGATAAGGCATATGTCAGTTTCTCATATAGGGACCTTACCCTGTTATATAGTCTCACTGCGAAACTTTATCACGAAGAAATAAGTTCTTACTTTATATCATCTCGAAATTTGCAACTAGAGAATATTAAAGATCCAAGAGAAGTATATTTGCAAAGATAAATTTATGAAGATATAGTAGGAAATCATAAGTAAGTAATTCTTTGTACTAAAATTCTTTTCTCAATTTTAATGTAAGATTTAATTGAAGTAAGTTGATTTATATAAGCATAATTAAACTTTTTATTTAAAAAATATTATTACAAAATATTCAAGATGTTATACTAATAAAAAGATATTTTTCTAGTGTCTTATAATATTATTTTTATAATAATAAGACCTCACTGGTTTAAACTATAAAATATTTGGAAAGATATAATTATACTAGAAGTACTTGTATATAACTAGAAAAATTATATTATAAAAATATGCAGTGTGTTATATATATATATATATATAAAATATTTTATATAATATCAACCTAATTATTGTTCGAAATTGATTATACGAGTTTGTATCAAACATTAATTTTTTTATTCTTGATCTAGATTTAAAACGTTCTAAATCGCTTGAAAATAATAATATTTGGCTCGAATATTTTTTATTTCGAGTGCTTCAGTAAAAAAAAAAAACTCGCCAGATCAAACTAGAGTCATTCAATGAAAACAGCTGACTAGTCGCTAGCATAACTTTTATATCAACTGATCGCCTGAGAGAAATGCAAGACAATAGACAATAGAAACAATTAAATGATTGTTTAACCATTCAGCTAATCAGCATTGTTTTAATTTATTTGCAGGGATTGGAAAACTTAGAAATATTCTTGAATAAGAGAAGAATAAAACTTTGAATCTATATATATATATATATATATAATTCGCAAAATACTTTATAATAGTTGTCCGTGCTAATCAAGCAATCAGATTAATTCACGTTTACAATGTTCGTGAGTATCATTTGATCTTGTTTAACATTTGAACAACAAAGATTCCAAAAGTAATCTCATTATCGCATTACTTTATCAAATCTTCTTTTCGATAGTTGCTTCAATCATCTTGTTGACATTGTTTTGATTGCCGCACTGTAAGTGTGCATTCGCGATTAAAACTGTAAATAGCCGTATACAACCATACACTTTTTTGCAGTGCATGTCAATCTCGTCTTTCTTTTTTTTTTTTAATCTATGTTTGCATCCACTGATTTATTGATTCTACGTTATGATGTGAATGTTTCCGTTTTTACACAATTTTAGACATAATTAATATATTTAAATATATTGCAATATTTTTTTTTATATTTTATCAATTGTTTTAAAGAGATAACAAAAACACATTGTTACTATATAAAAGTTAACCCTTAGGAAAAGATCTCACTTTTTATAAAAATATGTAGGCATGATATATGATTAAAATTAGTTGTCATATATTTAAAAGAAGATTGTGTTTTTCTAAATATGTGTATATTTTTAATATTATACATGAAAAAAAAATTGATTTGGCACAATTGATGATTGCGCGTTATAATTATGATCAACAATTTTATTAAAATAACGTTCTAATTAAATTTATGTTTCTTTACAAATCTCTGTCTTGCCAAATCTTAAGCCGATTTAGAATTTTTTTATTTTACATTTTATATTTTATGTTTCTACCATTACTCGAAGTACAGACAGATACGTAATAGAAGCTTTTAGGATGCTCATGTAGGTTGATAAATTTACCACAATAAAATGTCCAGCTCGCAATGTTACGGGAGATTCTGACCGCATAATGACGAAAATTAAGTTTCTTGTCAGTTTTGTGGGAAAGTCATACCAGATGTTTTGATAAACACAAAGTCCTACTTCTTCCATCTGAGATTTTAGATAATCCCCGATAAAACTATATAGCGTTAATTGTGACAGAAAAGCACTCTGCACCATTATACTTTTAATTGCCATAGCAGTGTCATTGTCTTTCAACGCTAGAATAAATTGAAAACCTGAAAAAGAAATTATTTGTTTAGTAGGTCCTTATAATTCTATGTGTTACGAAACAACAAATGATGTAATAATCACCCATTATGCATAATTGTAAACTGATAATAGATAATTGAATTAGTAAAATAAAACTAATTGTATCAGCAAGTTCTCTGGCCAATCTTATCAAATAGCTGTGTCTTTTAATTAGTGTGAGGAAACGTTTATAAACTTGTGGTCTCGTAACATCAAAATCGATAAACTTGGCTTTCAAAATTTCCACTTGACCGCAAATGTGCAGCGTAATGTTGAAAAACAAAGAGTCGTTACCTTAATAGAAAATTAATTGATACGATGTTGTAAGATTATATTAATATACAGATGTGGATATTCAATACTGTTATTATTTGGAAAATATTATTTATATACTTATAAAAAAAATTAAATTAAAACATATTACATTAAAATAGTCAGTAATTTTTTTATTTTAGTTTTTTACATACGTTTTTTCGATACGTTCTTAATTTAATATCTTACATGCTACATTTTTATAGATATATTTTTTAATTTTTACAATATATATTTTGTTTATTTGCGTGCATAATGTACAGGGTTTGAAAAATAATGATAAATTTTTGCATAGGAGTAGAATTTTTTCAGAATTTTTTAATATTGCATTTTCTCATTTTTATCAACACGAAAAAATACGGTATTAAAAAATTTCTGAAAAAATTATTAAAAAATTCTTTACGAGAAAAAAATAAATAATTTTTGTCTTGTACAGTTTTTCTGTAAAGTTGATAGTATTTGAGTAAAAAATTATTGAAGACCAATTTTCGGCAATTTTTAGCAATTAATTCTTGTTAACTATTGCGAAAATTGCAAAATTTTAGAGGACTTTTCTTCTCAGTTTAATCCATTCTGTCTCTATGCAAAAGATTTATCATTATTTTCAGACCCTATATATATATATATATATATATACATACAATATTTACTATATATATACAATATTATATATATATATATATATACAATATCCACATTAGAAGTGTATCATTTTTTGATAATAAGTCTTCTCAAGCTGGTAGTAATATTAAAACAATTTGTATTTATTACTTCTTATTTAATTTAAACAAATTTGTATTGATTCCATTATTATTCAAAAAATTGATATAATGTATTTAAAATTATTTAAACGAAGATAATTATCATAAAATAGTATCAATTTTCGTAGTGTAATGATATTGTTTATAACAGACAAAAAGGCACAATACACGTTATAAAAATTTTTTTAAATTCCAATTATATGATTTTGCGTTTATAAAATGTTCTAAATATTACATAACACAAAAAAATAAACGAAAATATCAAACACATAACACAAAAAATAAACAAAAATATCAAACAGCAAATATTACCATGATTAGTAGTACTTGTTAGAGTAAGCGAGATAGCTTCGATGAGACACAAGATTGTATGCATGCTTGTTGGAGCATTGAAGTACTCCAAAGCACATCTTGATGGTACTGTATACTGTAACATAGTCTCACTCGTTACATTTATTTTATTATTAGCATTACTTAAAAAAGGAATTATTGTGTATAATAGACAACTAAAGTAAGAAAAACACATTAGAAAACAGCAGAGAATTCTTCCCGTAGAAGCATGTTTTCGCATAATAGCTCGATGTTTTGCGTTTTTAATCATCAAATAATCATTTAGAGCAGAGCTGTAATTGTTAGTCAAATTCCTTGCGTGAATGCGAAACCATACTGTCTTCAGTATACCAAGTATTCCGCAACAGAGTAACATAAGGCTGTCTACGTTCTGTTCAGCGTTATTGCAGTCCGTATAGAGTTCGATGGAAGGCAATATTACCATTAGACTCTGTTGATATGTATAAATTTATATTATATATAAAGCTTTATGTGTTTAAAAAAGATGTATCTGCATTCTACTTTGATGAATTTTTATTAATATTAATTGCAAATAACAGTTAGAAACTAATACAAATATAGCTACAATATTTTGTCTGTGCATAAAGCATAAAAAGATGTTAGAATATAAACCAGTCTGATTTAAAGATAAAGAATAGTATATAATTATATGTTTAAAAATTTAATATTATCTGCACGAAAAAAATGAGATTTTCCTGAAATATTTAAAAACTTAAATAAAAAACTGAACATAATTTTGTTGAATCATCAAAATATTATGCAGAAAACTCAATGATGTGCAATGCTGCAAAAAAATGTTGACATTCTAGCAATTAGCTTAAGCATCTTATATAATTATTTTGAGCGTTTTATATATTTTAGCCCAAAACAAAATTATTTTCAGATCTAAATTTTGTAGATATTTCAGAAAAACTTTTCTTTCCATGTGTATATCTTTCAAAGTTTCTTCACTCAGGATTATTCCAGATCTAAAAGTATAATTCAATCAATGCGAAAAGAAAACTTCCAACAATTGCAAAATAAACATTCTGCTAAATACGGCCAACGAGAATTTATTTGCCATTCTGTATTCATTTTGTTTTTCTTATACAAATCGTGAAATAAATCATATAGAATACATGTAGAATATATTATATTTAGAATGAATTAAAATACTATCATTAAGCATGAATGAGCAACAACAAACATAAAGATGAAGATTTTAAGAAAAATGATTTTCGTTTGTCAAAACTTCCAAGGGCTTACAATCGTGCTCATTCATAGCCCACTCACGTTATCTTTAGATAGAAATATTTCACGTTGTCAACGAGACATCTATTTTCCAGGAGTATAGGAGGAGTCAAGCACTTGGTATTCGAAGTTTTTGTTTAGGACGATGTGATGTGGAAGATGTTTTACGTATATGTCCTGGGACTATCACGCGACAAGGTTCACTGACATCGAAAAAGATGCGTACCACGCAACAGGTAGCAAAGATGCATCGTAAAAGCGAATAGATGTTATAAACTTGAAGTGGCCAAACGCCGATGGGCCACGTTAGCAATTTGTAGGGGGTCATTGCGTACGAGACATCGTCTTTCCATCGTATATTCGTCATCGGGATGAGGTAATAACTGTAACTGATGCCAATAACTGATGATTCGCTTCGTACATAGATGTAATGCCATTATTTCGATTCATTTTTTATTCAGTTAGAGACATATACCCGCTCATCATTCTGTCTACATTCTTAGAATATTATAGTAAAACATAGAGAATTAGCCTCTCGTGCAAAATTTCCATTGTTGCACAAGAATTTATATAGTATGACTAAATTTTCTAAGTTATCATTCATCGAATAACTACTTTTTTCATTGCACGAATTGTTAGATCTATTGTATATGTTTCCTTTTATGTAAGTTCTAATTGTCTTATATCTTATTTCAATTTAATATCCTTTTGATTGAATAGTAGAAATTTTTTAATCTATCCAAAAATAAAAATACACATTGTGCAAATAATTTATTTTTTTAATTTATATTTGCATACTATTCACTATCTCTGTCAGCTATTTGATAAAGAATTATGAATTATGAGTATGTAATTCAATACGTCAAAATTTTCCTCTCAATTTGGATGTATTAATTTAATTGAATAATAATAAGTTAGAATATATGTACATATATTATTAATAACATATAACATAGATTAATTTGGTACAGATAATTATGATAGTTAAACCAGCACTTTCTTTATTAAGACAGTATTTCAATATATCCTTTCTTTTATGCATTCAAATCACTATTAGATTTTAATGTATAAATCATATATTTTCTTTTACATAAAGCTGTATGTGTTTAAAAAAATATGTTCAAATTCTACTTTAATAATCCGACTACGACAAGTTCTAATTATAAATATATATTTATAGTTTCTATTATATATATTTATAGTTTCTAGAACTGCTATATTTTTTATTTGTATATATCACACCTTTACCATTACACGAAGTACAGATAGATATGAAAGAGATGCTTTCAAGATGCTCACGTAAGTTATCAGATTTACTACGATAAAATTTCCAGCTTGCAAAGCGACGGGGGAATCTGAACACATAAGAATGAATATCATATGTCTCGTTAGCTTTGCAGGAAAATTGTACCAATTGCTTTGATAAATAGAAGGCCCTATTTCCTCCATTTCGGATTTTAAATAATCCCCAATAACACTATATAAAGTTAACTGTGTTATGAAAGTACTTTGTACCATTATATTTTTTGTGATTAAAACAACGTTGTTTTCACCTAATTGTAAAATAAGTTGAAATCCTGAAAAAAATATTTGTTTAACATAGAATATAAATCTTTTTTTATATCATAATACGATTTGCAAAATAATTATAAGTAGTATATCATTTACACACACCCATTATGCACAAAAGAATACTGATAATAAATAATTCTATCAGCAAAACAAAACTAATCATTTCGGCAAGTTCTCTGGCCAGTTTTATTAAGTATTTATGCCTTTCAATTAGTACATTAAAACGATCGTAGATATGTAGGTCTTTGATATCAAAATCAAGGAAATTAACTCTCAGAATTTTCATTTGACCACAAATGTGCAATGTAGCGTTCAGAAACAAAGCGTCGTTACCTTTCAATCATATCAAAAGAAATAATACAGACTATACTGATATACTTCTACGTACAGAACTGTATTGATATTTTCTTATTATTGCAATTAAAATATAAAGCGCCACTACGGTCTGAATGTTAAGATGTTGAACTATTATATGTATTCATTTAAATGAATTTCAGAAATGATAATTTCGTGCCGATATGATTATCGGACTTTCAACGCAATCAATCTGAAATATTAATAATCCCCCAAATTTCTCAAATTTAATAAATAAAATATTATTGTGAAAAATTTTAGTTTTTAAAGTATAAATGTTTAAAATTGGACCAATCTTAATTATTGATTAAAAAGTCATTTGTCCGTGTAATGCGCGTGCAATGGTATTAGATGTCAAACACTTCAAATACTATTTGAACACTTCGGACGAATGACTTTTTAATCAACAATTAGAAATTTGGCCCAATTTTAAACATTTATATTTAAAAACTACTTTACGGCAAAAAAAATGGAATGCACTTTTATTACTTAATTTTTTTCACAAAGTTTCACGCTGTAATAATATTGTCCTCGAATTTCAGGATATCCTGTTATATTATATATGTATAAATTGTATATATTATATGTATATCAGAAATAAACAATTTTGTATTATAATTTATTTTTATATCTATTTAATACAAATAAAGCAAAACTTTTACATCTTAAGCATATTATCTATATTTGACAGACAATGAAATGACTTTTATTAATAAAAATAATAAAAATTTTTTATGCACGAAATACATTTATATATATATATATGTACATATGTTTTAAAATAAAAATTGCTACAGTCTTTAAGGTGATAAAAAAATACCACTAAGTAATAATCTAATAATACCTTGATTTGCAATACTTGCTAGTATTAATGCAATAACATCGATGATGCAGAAAATTTTGTGCATTCTCACTGGTGCATTTAAGTATCTCATAAAGCATTTCGATGGTACTGGATATTCTAGCATAGTATCCTTTGTTATATTGACATGCTTGTATTCATTTAGAATAGCGTTTAATCCATACATTATGGAGCTAAAACAACCGAAGCCTAAAACTAAACAACAGAGAGTCCTTCCCATAAAAGCATGTTTCCGCATGATAGCACGCTCTTTTATATTTTCAATTGTCAAATAATCCTCCATAACAGATTTATAATTTGTAGCCAAATTTTTTGCGTAAATGCGAAACCATATCGCCTTCAGTACACCAAGTATTGCGCAACAGATTAACATGAGACAATCTACGCTTGTCTCCGCGTCGGTGCAGCCCAAATAAACTTCGAAACTAGATTTGATGAGCATGAAGACCTATTGACATATTTTTATATAATATAATATTTAATAGACACTAGTATACGTTATCTTCGAAGGATCGTGCGTCACTGATCATTGAAGCAAAACTCACAAAATGCATACCGGACCAGAAATGCCCACGACATATCGTATCAGCGAATAGACATTATGAACTTCAAATGGCCAGATACCGATGGACCACGCTACCAATTTAAAAGGGGTTATCGCGTATGCGACATCGTCCTTCCATCGTTCACTAGCCATTGGGTTAAGGTAATGACTGTAACTGCTATCAATAACCAGTCATATGTTTGATAGAACGTCCGTTTGTGTTCCGGCTCATTTTTTATTCATTTTAAAACCTGTATTAGCCTACCTCTATGCTCTTAATACATTATCGCAGAATATAGAGAACTGTGTTGTGCAAAATTGTTGCTTTATAAGAATTTATGTTTTTTTTTTTTTTAGTCATGACTTATCGAACAATTCTTTCCTGCTGTTGTATATGAATTGTCAAGAAAAAAACTTTATCTCTCGTTTATATTATGTGTATTCTGAGTTCTGATCATATTATGTTTTAGTTTGTCTTAGTTTTTTTATCATTTTGAACGTGAATGTTGTAGATTTACTTTTTCCAAACATGAAAATGTACTGTGTAGATAAGTAGATTTTTTGAATTCTAATAATAAAATTAATTTATGTATATCAATAATTTTATATACTCTCTCTCTCTCTCTCTCTCTCTCTCTCTCTCTCTCTCTCTCTCTGACAAAATATCTGTCAAATAAAAAGAATTAATTTTAGACATAAATATATTCATAAGGTAATTTTTACAATTAAACTTTTCCATTCACAAAATTTTATCACAGAATATTAGTCTATTTCTTAAAGAAATTCTATTGTAAATAATGATCTTTTTGAATGATTTATTTGTTTGTAATATTTTTTTAAGAATATTAGTTTACACAGTACAAATTAAAATTATATATTCGTATTATACATTAATATTGACCTAAACTTTTACACAACTTTTTCTAAATAATATGTGACATATGATATATGAGAGATATGTTTTAATAACTATTTGTTTCTTATTTCTCAGTTAGTATAAATATGTATTCTTTAAAAAAAGAAACTTTTTTCTTTTTTTAAATATATTTTTTTCTCTGTACTGTACCATGATATGATAAATCCGTAAAATTTTAAATTAAACTATGATGTTGTTTTTATGAATTTTAACTTTGTCTCCAATATCCAATGATGTACCAAAATATGTAAATTCGAAATTTTCATTGTCTAACGACACATTCTTTAACAGTGATGCCTCCTTTGTATTTGCGATACTCGATCCGCTGAAAATAATCTAAATTTTAAAGTTCGAACTGTCTATAAAATGCATCGTAATACGACGAAAAAATTCCTTCTTATGTCATGAATAATTAAATCACCTGGTAAAATGTAATAAGGACACTGGATGTTGAACTTGATGAGACAAATCCATTGATTGTTGCGTAGAGCTCTAAATAGACGTGCACGTCAATACGAAATTGTGGTCGGACCAAATCAATCGTTTACACGCACGCATACACGAGTACGGACATCGTAAGTCAGCATTTCAAGAAGAAGAAAACGCGGTATCGGCACAGATCAGAGCGATGATCGGCGCGTATGATCATTAATCCGCTTGTGATTGTCCGAAACGCCGCCGCCGCTAACCGTGATCTCCATATTTTCGGAAACACAATCAGAAGAAATATCGAGGGTATGTCGTGATGGCATGGAGATTTTCTTTCGATCACGAACCGAACAAGAGTGCGAATTTCATACGAATTTGAAGTCCAAGAATGTTTTGCGTGATCGCGACTCAGGATTTCCCCTAGGAGTCGTCGCGAATATAGTCCAACGGATTATATGTAATGATTCAGGGTGACCTCGACAACACCCCTAGGCATTGTCCAAAGGGCAATTCAGGGACTTGAGTTCCCTCAGGCAAAATCGCCGTGGCAAAATCTTAAATACGTGATAATATAAGAGACAGCGAAACGTATTTTTTAAGCGTCTTGTGCTTGATATGTGATTTGTACTTGATTTAATTAAACATTATTCATAAACGAAAATAAAGTGTGAGATATTAATGTTGTCTCCATCACGAAACAGCTGTCATTTACAAACACTTAAAAAAAATTGCTGTTATGATCAATTTTTATTGGTTTGCATAAAAGTGTTCTGCTGTTAATATTATTGAAGCAGTGAATCGCTATCATTATATGGTTTCGGATAGACTAAGTTAACTAGTTAAATAGTTGGGTGCAAGATAATTCGGGGTACATTTCTTTTAACGCTCACAAAGCTCGCGGGCATTATTTATCCTTTCTTAATATTTAATAAATAACAGATAAAATAATTTCATAAATGTTGCGAGCGTCAAGTGGAATACATCCTTAATCGCGGTAGCCTTACGTAGTTGGCTGCATAAATTAACTTAGATTGCGTGCAAAAAGCAATGTAGATAGCGATCGCCAATAGGAATTGTTCTGGCGACAATCTTGCCTTTCTCGAACAATCCAGTATGCACGCGTTTTTTGTTCCAAGTTTATCTTTATTAGTACGCAGTATTTTTCATATTCTATTTCTAAAGAATCTATTAGTGAATGAAATAGAACTTATATATATGTACGCATTCTATATATCAGAAATTTATTTTTTTAATTTCGATACATTAATTTAATAATAAGTATTAAAGTATACAGAGGGTATCTTAAGTAACGCCTTAATCATACAATGCTATTCCTACTAAAAAACTGAAATGTCCTGTAACAATTTAGCAATTTTCGCAACATTTAATGAGATATATAAGATGAGATGTATAAGAAGATTTTAAGATATCTTTCTGTATTCTTTGTGAAATATTTTGAAGATGTTTCTTAAGGGAGGGTATAGAGTAAAATTTTGAAAAATCAATTTTTTAATTTTGTAATATTTTGAAAGATATACGTATCGAAAATACATATGCCAAGTTTTAAAGAGATATTCGAAAAATTAAGATACAGCAAACGGAGATACAGCAGTTTCCGTGAAGTAGTTTCTGTACGACGATGCGCTAGAATTGCTTTTGGCGTTGACGAAGAAACATTTTTAGATATGGAAGAGCTATTATGTAGTCCAGGGATTATTGAATAAGAACAACTTAAATTTTTTAATTTAAATTTGTGCAGTCAACATATATATAGTAATCTGAAAGTAAAACTTCAAACGCGTTTTTCTCAAAATCATTTTTTTTAACATAGTTGACAGCAAATCAAAAAATCTATTCTACCTATTGACTTGGTGTAAATTACATTTTATTCATAAAACTTACTTCTATCGCCGGATGTAACCGTTTTTTTAATTAATAGAATTAATTAATAGAAATTTCATAATTTTATTCAATTCTTTTGGTAAATGTACAGTATAACGGACCACCTTCCGATGACCTTAACCTTAACATGTGTTGACAAGATCATAACTCCGAGTGACCTTCGGAAAGATTTAACCCGCGGTCGTCCTTCGTTAAAAAGTTTGAAAAAAAGAAAAAAAGTTTGAAAAATAACGCAAAATTTCTGTTATGCAATATTAAATACCATTCTATATAGGTTTTGACTTTCAACACGAAGCGACTTTCATCCCCCCTCCCTTCCCCTTACTTCAGGGGCGCACGACTCTCACCTTCGACTCTCACCCCTCCTACCCTCTATCCCCGGTTTTTCAGACATTCACCCTGTTTATATCCCTTAAAGAAAACTCTTAAAAACTTCGTGAGTGTCTTATACGTCAATTTTAAATATTTTGCTCATTTGGCAAACTAAAAAAAAAGAATTCCGAAAATTTCAAAATGGAGAGGACTTTTTCTCAATTTTTGTTAGGAATAGCACGATATGATTAGTGGACGTTATTTCAGATACACTCCGTATATATGCACATTGTTTAAATGTATATACATTATTAATCATATATAAAATAGATTTGGCACAGATAACTGTAGTAATGACTTGTAATTACAACCAACAATTTTATTAAAATAACATTTCAATACATTTTTTTCTTTTATGCATTCAAATTATCAGTCATCAAATTATATATTTATAATTTCTAAAATTCTTTATTTGTAGTATGTTATATTTCATACCTTTATCATTACACGAAGTACAGATAAATACGAAAGAGATGTTTTTAGGATGCTTACGTAAGTTGCCAAATTTACCACGATAAAATTTCCAGCTTGCAAAGCGACGGGGGAATCTGAACACATAATAATGAATATTATATGTCTCGTTAGCTTTGCAGGAAAATTGTACCAAGTGCTCCGATAAATAGAAAGTCCTATTTCTTCCATTTCGGATCTTAAATAATTCCCAATAACACCGTATAAAGTTAATTGTGTTAGAAAGGCACTTTGTACCATTATATTTTTCATAATTAAAACAACGTTGTTTTCACTTAGTTGTAAGATAAGTTGAAATCCTGAAAAAATATTTGTTTCTTTAATATAGATTTTTATATCATAATACGATTTGCAAAATAATTATAAGTAGTATATCATTCACACACCCATTATGCATAAAAGAATACTGATAAGAAATAATTCTATCAATAAAACGAAACTAATCATTTCGGCAAGTGCTCTGGCCAGTTTTATTAAGTATTTGTGTCTTTCAATCAATACGTTAAAACGATTACAGATATGTGGGCCTCTGATATCAAAATTAAGAAAATTGGTTCTCAGAATTTTCACTTGGCCGCAAATGTGCAGCGTAATGTTCAGAAACAAAGCGTCATTACCTTTCAATCATTAAAGAAAATAATATAGCCTATAGTAATACACTAATAAATATGCAGAACAATATTAATATAAATAAAGCAAAACTTCCATGCTTTAACAATGTTATGTAAATTAGTAGACAATAAAAGTATTTGCATTAATAAACATAATGAAAATTGCTTATGCATAGAACGTACTCATATGTATGTAATATGTATACGTGTGTTTTAAAATAAACGTTGCTAATCTTTAAAAATTAAATACAACGAAAAGATAAAAAGTTGTCAAATAACATGCTGTCAAATAACAATACCATGATTAGTAGTACTCGCTAGTATTAATGCAACAACATCGACGAGGCAGAAGATTTTATGCATGCTTACTGGAACATTTAAGAATTTCATAAAACATTTCGATGGTATTGGATACTCTAGCATGGTATCTTCGTTTGTTATATTGACATGCTTATATTCATCCAGAATAGCAATTAGTCCATACATTATAGAACTAAAATAAGCGAAGCCCAAAATTAAACAGCACAGAGTCCTTCCCATAAAAGCGTGTTTCCTCATGATGGCACGTTCTTTTGTATTTTCAATTGTCAAGTAATCCTTCATAGCAGAGCTATAATTGTTAGCCAAATTTCTTGCATAAATGCGAAACCATATTATCTTTAACACACCAAGTATTCCGCAAAAGATTAACATGAGACAATCTATACTTGTCTCCGCGTCAGTGCAGCCCAAATAAATCTCGAAACAAGGTTTGACAATTACGAGGACCTATTGACACGTCTTCATATAATAAAATATCAAATAAATAAATTAATTTACGTTGTCCTCAAAGAATCATATGTTATTGATCATCGAGGTTAAATTCAGAAAGTACATACCGCGGAAAAGATGCCAAAGACATATCGTATCAAGGAATAAGCATTACGAACTTGAAGTGGCCAGATACCAATGGACCAAGCAACCAATTTAAAAGGGGTTATCGCATATGCGACATCGTCTTTCCATCGTCTACTTGCCATTGGGTTAAGGTAATAACTGTAACTGCTACCAATAATCGATGATGTGTTTCATGTAACGTCTGTCTGTGTTTCGGGCTATTTTTTATTCATCTTGAAAACTTATACCAGCCTGCCACTATGCTCTTAACACATTATCATAGAATATAGAGAATTATGTTGTTATACGCATAGCTATTGCAATAAGAATTTGTGAGAATACATTTCGTTATTTGTCGCTTAACGATTTCATGCTATCGTGCATGAACTATAAAGAGAAGAACTTCTCCCGCTTATACTACGCTTATACTAGTTCTGTATTACATTTTATTTCGTCTAGACAATCTTTATATTTCAACTGTAAATATTGTAGATTTAGTTCTTTTGATTTTATTTTCTTTTGAACATAAAAATATATAGTACGGATTAAATTGTTTTGTAAATTTTGTTCGATATATTCACATTACGAAAACTGGTTAAAAAATAATATATGCTACAAGTAAGTAATTTTATATATTAATAATTTTATATACATATATTTAAACAAAATTAATTTTAGACACATATATATTTGTTAGATTTCTACAATTAAATTTATCTATTTACAAAATTTTATCGCAAGATGTAGTCTTATTTAAGAAGAAAATTCAAAATAAGGAATGTTTTGCTTATAATATTTTTCTAAGAACGTTAAATTTTTACCTAATGTAAATTAAAATTATATGTTAATATTATATATTAATATTGGACTAAAAATTTCGCATCGCTACAAATACTTCTCTTAAATAATACATGATATATGATAAAGAAAAATCTTTATTAGTAACTATTTGTTTTTTGTTTGTCAATCATAACACGTAAAGCGGATAAGTAAGATACTGCAGTTTTTAAAATGTCCGTAAAAGTAGCACGTGTAACATAGAAAAATTTTCCAGCAGTTAGACGAATGGGTATATTTGTTTTTATCATAATAAACGCTAAGTCTCTTATATCATTAGGCGAAAAATCGCACCAATTGCTGTCATAAAGCGCGAATGACAAGGCCTCGCTTTGATCCCTCAAATTATCACCCGCATATGAATACAGAAAGCATTGCATCAACATAACAATCATTATTATAATGCTCTTCACCGTCATAACTATGTCATGAATGTGCCAGGATACGATGAGTCCAAAGCCTTAAATTAATACATTTTAGTCTCTGATTGATCTTTTTAAAACTATAATTGTTAAAAAATTTTATTTTGACTCTCTCATAACTCAACTAGGCTGATATAATCTGGATATTCTTACAATATGTAAACTTGTCTTTTGTAATAAAGTAATTGTTAATATAATATTTACTCGTATTTTTATTTGCTTTTTGACATCCAAATATGCATTTACAATGCAATTATAGAAATAATTTTTTTTAGGAACTTACATAATAATCCTCATATATATTACATCTTTCACACAATTTTTACGTATCAAATAATTAAAGACAAAGTTTTATATATATAATATATACATATATACATATATATATTAGGTGTTATATATATATATATATATATAAAACTTTATCTTTAATTAAAATAAAATAAAATTTGAAACTGAATATTAAAATTAAAATTATACAAGGGATGTCCAGTATGTTTTGACAAACCGCTCGTGTGTAGATGGAATAGACTAAAGTGAGTCGAAAAGTTCTCTACTATTTTGTAATTTTCGTAATTCTTTTTTTTAAGTTACCCAATGAGCAAAATGTCTAAAATGACATATAAAACAACTTTAAGATACTTTTAAAAATTCTTTAAGAAACATCTTTAAGATATTTTATAAACTTTGAAAAGAATTTTAAAGTTATTTTATGCGTTAATTTTACCCACTTATTCGACAATTTTTAAAAATGAATATCTCGTTCACTATTGCGAAAATTGCAAAATGGTAGAGGATTTTTTTATTCAATTTAGTCCGCTCTATCTGCATACAAGCGCTTTGTCAAAACTTACCAGACATCCTGTATATTGCACTTTTTGATTTTTTGAGGCAATAATTAAAAATATACATATATTTATATTTCTTTTAGATATCATAAACTATCATAACTCTCCTATACATAAAGAAATCCCGAAAATATATAATTCATAGACTTACCTGTTATGCATATTAAAATAGCGCTGGTGAAAATCTGAGTTAAAATAATTATACTGTAGGAATCTTCGACAGTTTCCGTGAGTTTTAACAACTTTCGATGTCTAACGACAAATTCTTCAATGATACTGCCTCCTTTGCGTTTATACTTGTGATCGATTTGATGAAAGTCGCTCATCAGAAGTTTGAGCTGTCCACACAGATGCATTGTGATACCGACAAAAATTCCCTCCGTACAACAGTTTCCAGCATATGTTACAAACAACTGAATCACCTGGTAGAATGTAATGAGGACATACTGGAGATTGGAGACGGACTCGAAGAGACAGGTCATCGGAAGGACAAACGTCCTTCCGTTGGCTGTCGCGTTTATGAAGGGTAAAAGTCGCAACAGATAAAATGTAAGGGAGACGAAGCCACAATAAAACAGAGACAGCGAAATTATTCTCGCCGTGCGTGCGTACTGGATCATGATCTCGCGCGAACTTGCATCCTTGATGTCACACCAGTCCTGAATAGCAGAGCATAGATTGATCGAAAGTGTGGATCGTTGTATTTGCAGCATAGTAAGTTTGATAATTCCCAGCATTGCGCTTGAGGCCACCACGTACGTGTCAATCGGATCCTCAGAGGAGTTTTCGCAAGCGAGATAGACATCCATCAACAGTGTTGTCATCAGCAAAATCTAAAATAGTAATATATAGGTTTCAGAAATAGTTGGCTCAACTCTAAGAGGATATTCCATTCATTATAAGGATGAAAGAAAATCATATAAACATGGGTTTTTTGGAAATGCTTCTTTTTCAAGTTATAAATATTTCTTATTTACCATAGATAAATATGTAGTTTAGGAGTCCCCTCCCCCAATGACCTTGACCTAACATATGTTGTCAAGGTCATGACCCTGAGTGACCTTGAGAAAGTTTTGATTATCGGACGTCACTCGTTAAAAAGTTATAAAATATATGTATAGATATAAAATATAGTATAAAATAAAATATAAATATAAGTATAAAATAAAAAAATATGTATAACTTGGAAAGGAAGCGTTTCCAAACTTATATTTATATGACTTTTTTTGATTCCTTGAGTGGAATATGCTCTTAAAGTTTGGTTAACTATTTCTGAAATCCTGTATAGATTATTGCGTCAAATCAAAATGTTTTGCAACTTTTTATTTGTGATATTTACACTTACAAGAAAAATTTATTTTTCATAAGTATATTTTTAGATTTATATAAAACGTACTTGTGCTTGCGACTTATATTTTATATAAAATGTAAATATTTTTGTATATTTTGTAGCAATAGTAAAGATGAATAATAATCCCAGAAATGTATTTAAGATGTACAGTTGTATCAAGATAAACTTGTACTATTCTACTCAATACAAGCAATATATCTCTTTAAGTATATGTTTTTTACTTCAAAAATTATCAAAAGCAATATAAAAAATATGTGCTCAATTTTTTAAAATATTTTATTACAAACTTTAAGGAATGATAAATTTTAATACAAAAGAATCAATTGTTAAAGAATTTAATTTTTTATAAGAAACCTGTGTTTTGACATATTTTTAAGGAGCAATTCATTCGATCGTATAATATTTAACAATACTAATTCGTGTTCTTTGATTTTGTTTTTTTTTTTCAAGAAAAAAAAGAATCAAAAATTTGAACTAAGTTTTCAAATATCACACATAATATTGCGCGATTATTTGCGTATCTCATAGCTAGTCCGAATGAGGACGTGCTTCTTAAAAGTGCAACGGAGAATATAAGTTTCTTATCAAAAATTGCTTTTTTTTGTAAAGATCTATCATTCTCTAAAGTATTGCCTGAGAAATACCTTATATATATAATATAAATGTATATAATATTATATGTATACATATGCGCACTCACACATATATATATGTATGTGTGTGTGTGTATGTATATACACTATATACATATATCAAATATATTTACATAATATTTATAAATAAATGATATATTTAAAAATAAAAATATGTTCTCTTACCTCGCTTACAATCACAAACAAATAACGTATTTTTGAACAAAAGATATTATCATCAATTGGCCACACTCCTACAAGCCATGCCAAAATTTTGTAACTTGATAATGCGTAAATAGCATCCTTGTTCCAGTACACCATTTTCGAAGCGCATCACGAAGCGATTTCGAGCTGATCGCACAAGTGTACATCTTTAATAGCGCTTGGCAGGGTATTATGCAATGCATTAATATCTTTATTAATATCTTTATTAATTGATTCGCCATGCTGACAACACTAGGGCACTCGCGCATGTATTCTTTGTCTATCATAGTCCTCTCTTATTGTACAACTATTGATTGGGAGAATATAGCAACTTTGAATTTTTTTCTTTACTCGCGCACGTTAGATGTATATGCATGTTTATAGATCCCACAAAGAAGATGTTTGTACGATGTACAAATTGCTTGATCATTATATTATTGCATTACGATACTCCAATGTCTCTTGAATTGCCTAGCGTATGCAAAAAATATCAATAAGCAGAATTTGCAGTCCATGCAATTTATTCATTTTTCAAGAAATATAGTGAGTATGTTATTCGATACCATTTGAAGCAACGTATACTTACAGGTAAAGAAAGATCACCGATAGAAGTTTGGCATATAATAGAAAGCCCAAGTAATGTATTTTAACTTCCAAACATTTGCTATTTTGAATTGTATTGATATTAAAATGACAACTTAAGAACATACTTTATATTTCTCTTTGTGAATAAGAATTATATGTGTACCCATTCTGTACTTTAGGAGAAACTGGAGCTAATAGACTATAGAGATAGATAGACTAATCGAATTTACGTTAAAAACAAAATACTGGAGACACATAACGTATCTGAACATGCAAAAGAGACTGCTGCTCAGTCACTCGAGTCACCTCGTGAACCTACGCGAACTTATACGTTCGAAAGTCGTGACACATTTTCGAAAAATCGTACACGTAAGTACATACCTTTATTCTTAAACTTCTTGTTTTACAATTATATATAATTTAGTACTTCTGATTAATATTAGTCTGAGGTATTGATTAATACTTATTTATTCACTTAAATTCTTCTTAAATCATTTTATTACCTAATTATTGTATTCTCAAAATAATATAGACAAATAAGAGAATTTTATTATAAAACATTTATATTAAATATTTTTTAATATCTTGAGTAGTTTCTTAAATATGAAATTTTATTCAAAAAGTGTGAAAATTGTTATTTTTTCAACAAATGAAATATTTTCATTGTTCTCCAAAAAGTATTTTCACTCTCTTAAAGTGAGATTTCACTTCAAAAAATTTAGAGAATAGATTACATTAAAAAACCTTTTCAAAAAAAAAAAAAATATACCAATGCATAAAAAAGTTATTAAATACATTCTTCTTAATCAAAAAACGGATATAAAACAAATATAATTAGCCAAATATTTCATTACGCAAGACACATAAGATAGACTAAAAGTGACTAAAATTGTCAATATATTAATATAAAATTGTCAATGGATTATAGTGAAAAAAAACATGGCGTGCGTAGCAATAATTGTACTTCTATGAATATATTATTTCAACACAGTATTTATATTATTAATTAAAATATATAGTGACACAGTTCATAGAACATCAAAATATACAAATAATAAACGTGGTATAAATTAAAATAATATGTACTAATATTAATAATATTTAAATAGTCGAAAAAATTTGAAAAGCTGAAATGATCTCTTTTCGGAACACAATCTCCAGATCTCGGTATCGGCTGCATCAATTTTATTCGGACTGATCGCAATCGAAAAATACCGATAACATTACATAATAAAAGTATTTTTAGATTTTTGATTGCGATTTTAGTTTCTGAGTAATTTTAATTTAAAGTCAAAACTTCAGCTAAAACTAGCGTCGCGAATTTGGCATCGGCACAAACATACTCGTATATATTATATGCAATAACATATGTCAAGCGGTCAAGCGATCCGTTAAACGACCTATTTAATTATATTTTTATACACTTGACGTCATGACGCTATCGCATCGCTTGAAACATAAATTAATTAAAAGTTTATAATTTCTTAAAAAATTAATTATTCTTAAAATTTTTCAAAATTTTAAATTAATTGCAAAAATTGTTATATATTATTCTTTAACTACTATAGTTTAAACAGCATTTTACTATTTAAACTCAGATTCTTGTATAAGTTATACAGCATAAAGAAAAAGTGCGTACTTTTTGGTGGTCTGACTCTACATAGTGTTTCAATACCTTACATACACACATCCACATTTTCCAAAATTATGATTGAAAACTATGAGAATGAGTATTCTACGTACATTTTCAACATTTTCTATGCTTACAATTATTATTATATAATAATAACAATATATATAACAAATGTGTCCAAGTTTTTATATACTGAACAAAAATGCTTACATATTACATAAACTTATAGCGTTTTGTAATTACTAATTGTTTATTTATTTAAACACTTCTTATCTAACTATTTCGTCATCTAATAATTTTATGTATTAATAGTATGTTTACAGATAATAATAATGATTTGATAGTGACATTTCTTTGTCATAAATATTCAAAACATGAATATGATTAAAGAAACTATATATTGCAATATATTGAAATATAAATATATATTCTGTTTCATTTATCTACACTTCATTATCTACATGTCATATGATATAATAAACAAATAATATCATATAATAATTAGATTATTCTACTGCCATTTGTAAAAACGATATGTATGATAATGCAGTCTTCAAAATATCTGTAATAGTGCTTCGAGTTACATAAAAAAATTTTCCAGCAGTAAGTTGAAGAGGAATCTTCGCCCTCATCATAATAAATATGAAATCCTTCACTACAGAGGGCGGCAGTTTGTGCCACGTTGTATTATATATTGCCAAAACGATCGATTCACTTTGTTTTCGTAAAGTTTCACCGGCGTGTGTAAACAAGAAGGACTGCACAATATAAAACTGAACGAAGATCGTGCTTTTTGCTACATTAATATAATCGTGATTCTTAATGGACATAATCACACGCGTTCCTGAAAAGGATATTTTCTTGTTTTTTTTCTGATTGCTTCATTTCTTGCACTTAGATACAATTAATACTTTATTTTGGTATTACACATTTTGGTACAATTCTTTATCAACAACACTTATTCGTTGTGTTAAGCAATTTATTAGAAATGTATGATGACTTTTGCAAGTTTCAACATTATTAATCAAATTTCTGTAAATCTATTTTCATAAATAGATTTAATAATGTATTTTAGTAAAGTAAAGATAATAAAAAATTTTATTAGTTATAAAGAAAATGAAATGGGCAATTGCAACATGTAAATACCTGAAACCGCAATGAAAATGGTAGTTATTGATAAACGAAATAAGACATTGAGATTGAAGGTGTCTTCGATATTTCTGGCCAGTATTATCAGTTTGTAATGTCTTCTGATCCAAGATCCCAATATGCTACGATAATGATTCCTCTCGTTGGTACTTTTACCAATGAGTTCAATAAAGCGAATTCTCAAGAGTTTTAGTTGACCACAAAGGTGCATAGTAATAGCAAAGAAGAAGCAATCGCTTGAACATTCAGCCGTATAGATTATGAAGGCCTGCAATATTTGCATGAGAAAAAATGCTTTGTATATAGAATATGAAACCCCTCGGAATAGACATGTTGATGGAATAACAAACTTCCATAAAACTTCTGTGTTATTGCCAATAATTACGACCTATTAAAATATCTCAAGATGTGTTATACAATTTTACATTTATAAAAAACAAACGACAAATGTATATTAAACGTATAATAAACATGTAACAAATTTAAAATGCGAAATTTGTAAGAAATGTTTATATTAATAATAACACTTTTTTAGAATTTTATTTTTTATTAATTAATTTAACTTTTTAATATTTTATTTCTGATAATTATATATATATATATATATATTGATACAGATAAATTTATATAAATTTTTTTATTACAATCATATTATGTAATATGGTGATAATATGGTATAAAGTAATTAAGATAACTATCTGCATCACAAACAAAACGTCACCTATTGTCTATTTCCAAAAAAAATAGAGGGGAAATATACGACAGCGGCTATAAATCCAATCATTAATTGAGACACAGTGATCATTCGACCTATTCGTGCATATCCCATCATTATTAAATAAGACTGCTTCTCTATTGACGAAGACGACCAATCGTCAATCGCAGATGTCACGTTGACAGCAATCTTTTTCATGTAAATGCGCGCGAAAACGATATTTATCCACGAATGTAAGTTCGCCTCCATTACAAGAAAAAACTCCAGAGCGTCTTTGATGTCACCGCAGTTTATGAAAAGTTCTATCAGCAAGCAGATCATTGTGAGAGACTATATGATAGCAAAGGGTTCAACCATTTTATATAACATAAATTAGATTGTACATAATAAATAAAAATAAATATGTTAAACAAGGGCTCTCTCTCTTTTTAAAATAACAAAAACAAAATTAATCTGAGCTATACGGTCTGAGCTATTGTGTCACTCAGGTTATCAAAACAGTAATGTAATCCACACAGTTAAATCTTATCATGAAACTTTGAATGACATTAATATTCACAAATAATCACTTTTTGATAAATTTTATGTGAAATTGATCAAACTCAGTCCAAGCCATCCGGAGTGACGAATAGGTCTGAGTGACTCTACTTTGACCGTTCGCGAAATCTAATATGGATTATAAACATTGCTGATTCCAAAGAGAATTGAAATGTTCAAGATTTTTCAAGATTTTAAATAAAAAAGACATCAACATATCAAATAAAGTAACAAATTTATTTGTTAAAATTTTATTGCGCACCTCCTCTCGCGCTGACTCTCAATAGCCCAGATTAATTTTGTTTTTGTTATTGTACATAATTGTTGATAAAAGAAATAATTTAGATTAGAAAATTAATTAAAAGTTTTATGATTTTTTTTAAAACATTAATTACATTTGAAATCCCTCAAAATTAAAATTATCAATTAAAAGATTGTTATTAATTAAATTATAATTATAGTGACTTTAAGTAAAAAAATTTGTATACATTGTAGACAATTGCATTGTAGACATTTATTGCTACATCCTACACTTAAGAAATTATTTTAATATAATGTCTTTTCTTACCTGCTCGATGAATATGATAATCCAACGAAATGTACATACTATATCGTCCTGATGCAAAGGCCATACACCGACTATCCACATTATCATCCTTATCATCGAAAAACCATACTCCATGCCACTGTTCCAATTTGTCTTCATGCCCGGCGACTAGTTTCAATTGCAAGAAAATTGTGGCGATGTAATACATAAAATGTTGTTCAATTTATGCAATGTACAGCTCCGAGAAATTACTATAGTCGGACGTATCATTTGTTCATCGATCGATTCTTATGGTGGTAAGATAAGTATGGTTCTATAATTTCTGTGATCATACATTTCTGTAACATCCACGCTTTTCCATAATATGCACTACGATAAATTTTGTTATTCCGATACTTTTGAATGGTCACGATTTTAACAACGACATTTCGCTTTGAACTTATAGCGTCTGTTTGACATAACGATCAATTACAAATGTGCGAGAACTGCAGATGGTAAAATAAATTTCAATTTTTTTAAACTACATCTTTTAATTACGTATTCTTTTTTTTTCTTTTATGGTCGATGTATGATATTACTTTTTAAAATTTGTATTATCAGGTTAAATAAATGATATCTATAATAACAATGCAATCATAGTTAAAACCTTGAATGGAAAACTTTCTTCTTTTTAAGTCTAAATGTTTCTGCTCATTAAAAATGCTTATGTGTGGTTGTGTGTAATGCATTTGTCTAATAACATTAATTATTTTGTTTTTGATGTAATTATTCTTGATAATAACAATTATATAATAGTAAAAAATATATTTTATTTAATATTTTTATTTATTTATCATATATTACATTTTAAAAAGATGTTCATATATAGTAGAAGTAAATTAAGCAGTAAAAGAAGAAACTTAAATATTTTCGATATCTTTCGATGTTTGCAAATTATTACAATAATAACAATGTATGTAATAAATTTGTTCAAGCTTTTATGCGGAACAAAAATGTTTAAAAACTAAAAATAAAATACAAATATGATTAGAGAAACTGCAATATATTGAAATATATATAAATATATTCTATTTCATATATTTACACATCATTATCTATATGCAATACAATATAATAAACAAATAATTTCATATAATAACTGAACTATTCTTCCATTGTTACTCGTAAAAACGATATGTAAGTCAAGGCAGTTTTTAGAATATCTGTCGTAGTTCTTCGAGTAACATAAAAAAACTTTCCAGCAGTAAGTTGAAGAGGGATTTTCGTCCTCATCATAATAAGTATGAAATCCTTTATTATAGAGGGCGGCATGTTATGCCACGTTGTGCTATATATAGCCGAAAAAATCGATTCGCTTTGTTTCCGTAAAGTTTCACCGGCATGCGTAAACAAAAATGATTGTACGATGAACAACTGGGCGGATAACATACTCTTTAATACATTAGTATAATCGTAATTCTTAATGGACATAATTATACGCATTCCTGAAAAGGACATTTTTCTGTTTTTTTCTGAATGCCTAATTTTCTGTATTACAAGAGAATCTCCCAAAATGTCAAATTCTGATTTTAATGTTTAATGAAACTTTGTATATGTATATATATATATATAAATCATCGCTAGTAATATTGATTTTTGGAAGTTAGGGTGCTGAAGGAGAATGATAGGAGATGATAGAAAGGATGTTAGGGAAGAAAATGTGTGAGAAAATGAAAGAGGGTATGTAAATGAGAGTGTGAGAGAGAAAAGGGAGAGAGAGAGAGAGAGAGAGAGAGAGAGAGAGAGAGAGAAAGAGAGATATGATAGGGTACACTGTCATGTATTACAGGATAGAATTTGCTCAATGAATAAGTTTAAAATGGAACTTGCGACGAGATCCATACGTAGGAGAAGCTCAAGTAAAATGGACGCCCTGGGTAAAGCGAATACCTTTCATTTTTGCTTATCTATCTGAGATTGTGCTATGAGTCTCTAACAGTTGAAGGAATGACCTACCAGCGACACTATGAAAGTACGAAATGACATATGATTGCGTTTGTTTGTGTTTAATAGAAACATATAGAAATTTGAGTATTTTCTTGCGATTTTTCCTTAAGTACGTAGCTTAATTATTATCTATAATTATTCCTTAACCAGTGTGAATGATTTTTTATAAAAATTCTGTGTCTTTAAACATATATTCGAGGTTAAAATTTTTCACTTGATGCTTCAACTTATTCTAACCTTTCCAAATTCGCGCCAGGTAGGTCTTTTGGGCAAAGCAGATGAAGCCAAAGAGGATGATCCATCCTCTTTACGTATATGATTACAAAAATACTGGGAATACGGAAGGACGACTTCGAGTGTACGAAAGGCACATGTTTGTTTACACCTCATTTTTGTTTATTTTTTACCACAATGCAATATGATGATTTATTTATGACTGATCCAGTGCAATCATTGCACCTAATGGGCCTATGAAGACTGCATTATATGTAAAGGATTTGGTAGCTACTTTTGTGACGATTGCCAAGACTAATTCTAATTTTTTAAATTTCATTTGCATTGCTCAAGTGATCTATTCGCTTTGCCCAGAAGGGTCGGACAAAGTGGATGGTTTCTCTTTTTTTATGTTTTAACTAAAACGACATATTAAAGTTTTTTAATTTTTTTTAATTTTATTTCAAAGTTAAGTCGTTTAAGAGATTTATGAGAATAAAAATGGTTTCTAATCTTAATTTTAATTCAATGTCATGTTTTCTTTTTTTCAACCTTAACACGTCCGCGCTGCCCGAGCTTCCCCTATGTATGGGTGTGACATGGTGAGCAATAAGAGAGAATTAAGTTTTTCAATTAAGTGTTAATTAAGTTAGAATAAGTCCTTGCAATTTTTGTATTGTATCCCCGAGGGGAATCAATAAATCATTACTACTACTATTATTACAATAATAATTGATTTTAACGAATAATTTTCCCTTATACATAAAGTAATTTTCAACATTTTTTCATTATATTTCAAAACTATTCAAAATAATATTTTCGAAGCTTCCACGGGAATAATTTTCTATATAAAAATTATGTGTTGTCACATAATGGACGCGGATTGTCTCCGTGTCCATGTCCATTCTTGGAATATCAATATTTTGTAAACTTTACAGTTTACTTTATCAGGAAGCAGTGTGATAGAATATTGTATTAGACTATTTCTCATCCTAATGAAGTGAACTACAACGTTCATGAAACATTAGCATCCCAAGAATAAATGTGGACACGGAGATAATTTGCGAAACTGTAAATATTTTATATAAAAGGTTTATAATAATTAACTTTTTTATCTACGTCAATGATATTCTAAAAAAAGATTTTAAAAACTGTTTCAAATATAAAAAGTAATTTCATCTTTTAAAAATTGAATAGCCTCAACTGATATTTTTTTAAATTCACCTATTTACGTATCAACATATTTACGTTTAATAAAAATAAAAATTTGACAATTTTTGAATGATTCTCTTGTTATACAAATGATATTTTATTTCAGTACATATTGATACTAGATATTTTTCATACAATTCTTTCTCAACAGCTCTTATTCATTTCAAGATAATTCATTATAAATATATGATAACTTTGGTTAATTTTAATATTATTAATCAAATTTTTGTAAATATATTTTTATAAAAAAAATTGTTAATGCTGTAGTAAATTATAAAAAATTTTTAGCAACAAGCAAAATTAAATGTGCAATTACGATATATACAAATACCTGAAACAGCAATAACAATGGTAGTTATTGTTAAACGAAATAAGATAATGAGATTAAAGGTGTCTTCAATATTTCTGGCCAATATTATCAATTTGTAATGCCTTCTGACCCAAGACCCCAATACGTTGCGATAATGTATTCTCTCGTCGGTATTTTTTTCAACAAGTTCAACAAAGCGAATTTTCAAGAGCTGTAGTTGACCACAGAGATGCATAGTAATAGCAAAGAAGAAATTATCGTTTGCACATTGTCCTATATAGACTATGGATACTTGTAATATTTGCATGAGAAAAAGTGTTTTGTATGTAGAATATGAAATTCCTCTGAATAGACATGATGATGGAATGATGAAATTCCACAAAGTTACTGTCTCATTACCGATAGTCACGACCTATAAAAGTATTTCAAGATGTGTTATATAATTTTACAATTATAAAGAACAAAATAAATGTATAATAAACATATAATAAATACATAATAAACAAATTAAAACGATATATTTATAAAAAAATGTTATGTTAGTAACAACACTCTCCTAGAATTTTATTCCTTAGTAATTAATTATTTTTTAAATATATTATTTAGACTAAATATAATATTTTTTACAAATACAAGGGAATTTGTATGGATTATTTTTATAATTATTACTATATTGTTCAGTATGATTACAACATAATATAATTGAAATATTGTAAATGTTATGAAGAAAACATTACCTGTTGTTTATTTATGACGATAGCGATAAGATATACACTAATAGCTACAAATCCAATTATTAATTGAGTCACTGCGATCATTCGACTTATTCGTGCATATTCCGTCATTATTAAATAAGATTGTTTATCCCTCGACGAAAACGACCAATCATCAATTGCAGATGTCACATTGACGGCAATCTTTTTCATATAAATACGCGCTAAAACGACATTTATCCATGAGTGAACGTAGAATTCTATATTAATAAAAGCTTCCAGAACGTCCTTGGTATCACCGCAGTTTTGGAAAGATTCTATCAGCGTGCAGATCACTGTGAGAGACTATATGATATCAAAGGATTCAACTGTTTCATAAATAAATATAAATTAATTTTCATAAAATTTTTGATAATAAAATTTTTGATAATAAACTATAGATAATAAAATATAGATTAGACATGAATTAATTGAAATTTTCATAATTTTTCTTAGAAAACCTAATTAAAATTTCTTTTTTAAATTAGTTGTAAAAACTTATCATTACTTAACATACATTTTAACTGCCATATGTATTCAATTGGATGCACACCTATGTAGATCCAGGACGCCGCGTATATCAATTTGAATGCACATACATTTTCAACTTACTATCATTTAAATAAAGAATCGAAAACATTTTTTGCACTGGTTTTATATGTACATATTGTAAGTATATATTATGA